TGGGTCATGTTTACATTCCTGATAGCAGGGGGAAATAATTTTTAGAAATCAAACTGTAGGGTGTGCAGGTTTAATTAATGGATTCAAGAGTAAATGTTCTAGGTAACAGATCCATGCCATGAATACTTAACCCTTCTTTTGGCACAGTGGATATAACAAACCTTGTTGGAAATCAGTGTTCCTTCAGCAGCGCTATTTTTATGTACCACACCACGTTGACTCTTTTCACCCGATAATGAGAGGAAAGCAAAGCCAGTCGAGTGATTCGGTCCCTGGACTGGGGCTTAGGGGACCTGGAATTCTGAGCTCTGACTTGGAGTCCCTGCATTTCCGCAGGCAGATTAATTGCATTTCTGTTTCACATCTTCATCAGTGAGGTGGAAACGGTTCTACATTTTGTTCATGCGGGCCATATCCACACTGCATGATGGAGCAGGCTGCAGGTTGCCCAGGTTAGCTGGCACTGAGCAGGATGTCCCATCAAAACTCTATAAACATCTGTGAACTTGTGAGCTGTGAAGCCGTTTAATTGCAACCACACTACCCTGTGCTTGAGCTCGTAGATGGAGTGCTAGTCTATGTCTGAGGTGTGAACACATCCCGATTGTCCTGTCTGTACAGACAGTAAGATATTTGATGCTGGAACATTTGCTTTCAGTGTGATTGTGCAGTTTTTAGCAGTATGTGCTTCTGATTTCAGGCATGGCTTCTCATCCCAAATTTTATTAAAACAAATTCAAGGCACAGTTCAGCTACGTACTACGTTGCCAACTTTTCTGCAGCGTGTTTTCTCCTATTTAATTTTTCAAGTGGAGTCTCTTTCATCTCCTCCTTCAAGGATAAAAAAAGATTAGCTTATTTATTTCAGATAGTTTCTCATATTAGTTTCTCTTTTTTTTTTTTTTTTTTTTTTTGCTCCTTTTCGGGTTAAAAACGATGGGGAAGTTCAGCTAGCACTTGCAAGATATGGTTGCCTTAGCAACAGGCCTCCTAATCTGGTAGGTGACCATGTTTTTCATATTTGTTTTTCTTTTTTTTTTTTTTTTTTTTGAGCCTTTAGCATTGGTTTATGGGACCAATGCTCACAGGTGTGGAAGTATCACAGAACTGTCTCTAAGCCTCAGGCTCACCTCTGCAGCCACCTAGTAGAGTTAGCACGTGCCTGGTAGTGACAGGAGATACCTTTCTCTCATTTTGTGTCTCCTTAGCACTGTTAGTGTCCTTTAAGGCACCTTCTATTGCAGTGTGCAGTGTTGCATTTTCTCTTTCTTCCCTTCCTATGCTTACCTATTTATTATACTGTCTGGAGAGCAGCTGGGGTACCTTGATATGCATGCAGAGCCCACAAATAATTAAAGTGTATTTTAAGGAATAGTCAGAAAAATCTTGAAGCTGGCACTCAGCGGTACTTCCCTTTTTTCATTCCCCCACTAATGTCACAATGAAGTCTAAAATTATCATATTGTCGGAGTGTGGCTGTTGCATGCACAGCTCTATGACGTATGGGAGGGCAAAGCTTAGATTGCTTTGTTCATCATGAATGAGGTTTTCCACATGCCTGAATTGTTCAAGTCATTATTGTGTAATTTGTATTCTATGAATCTAAGTGGCTGCTAGGAATTCAGTTTAGCTGCGAAGTAGTTCAAAACAGCTCGTACGATCACTCGAGATTCCAGCTACAACTCCCATGCTCTCTTAAGCTCATCCTTCTAGATCCATGAATCGTGCTCTAAACCTCTGAGTTAATTCCAACCACAGTTACATTTGGGACTATCATAAAAGATCATTCACAACTCTAGCAGCCTACAAAGGTACATTTCCCTCTGCTCTCCCTTAGCCAGCAAACCCAGAAATCAGTTGTCAGAGAGATCCAGACATTGCAGGAATCGGCTTGGAGAGGCTCAGGAGTGAAGTGTCCCCAGTGTGTGCTAAGCACAGCTTTCTAGGAGAACCTGGCCCTTCCAGGTTAACTGGACCCTTGCTGGCTTTACATTACTGTACTTTGTGCTGCTGATGTCGTGGATGTGATTATTTTGGAGCTGGTTGTCTCTATCAAGACTTAACACTCAGTTGCTGTGCCCTGGCCCATGAACACATTGCTTCTTCAATTCCATGTGCAACATTTTAGGGTATTCACTGTTGTCCACAGAGGGTTTTGCAGCTGATTTCAAGTGAGCAGAGATGTAGTCTGGAATATCTTGGGAAAATCCTGTAGAAGAGGGGTGGGAGTTTGCACTGAGAGACAGGAAACATGGAGCATCCCTAATTTATGTAGGTGCATACAAGCCCTGAAGCTCCCAGGTGCCTCACAGAGCGGGACATGGGCAGTAGTAACTGTTCGCTTACAGAAATGAAGTCTCAAAGTTGGGTGAGCCACAGCAATCCTGTCGTGTCACCTCGGGTCACTGGTGGTCGTAATTCCTTACTCTAGTGTTTTGGTGGGGGAGATGAGTGTAAATGGAGGTGCTAAAATTGAAATGATTTATTAAACAATTTAGCAAAGCATATTTTAAGCTGAAAGTCCAGTTGTTTTTCATTACTTACTTTCTTGGTTTATTTAAACTCAGCTTAGGAACAAAAGTTGTACCTGCAGCTAGAGGGGAAAGCAAAGCTTTGCTTCAGATTTCTGCTTAGTACTGCAACTTTATCAGACACATGAAACAGCATCTTTCTCAGTGTGCAACTTCCCATCTTGCCTAAAACGTTCTTTAAATATTCTAAACTTGCAGAACATTCTCCCCATGAAAGGCACGCTTAAATGATCATTTAGCAATCCCATGAGGTCTGTGACTTTTTTATTAATTACTATAATCTGATGCAACGGAGCAAACGTTCCACTAAACAGAAGTATAACTTGGTATTTGGAGCTGCTTGGGTAGCTGAATTTCGGCAATGTTTTCCCCAGATATTGCTGTCATGTCAGCTATTTGTCTGTACAGGCTTTTCAGTTTGTGCTAATCATTGTGCTATTTCAGTGTTGTAAACACAGTTGCTGTGTCTTTGTAACGTTGTTGAAATAAGAGTTTGGGGTTTTTTTGAAAACTATAAAGTTTGAGATGAAAATTATTGGACTTGCTGTAAAGCAGCATATTAATTGAAGGGTAATCGTTTCTAATGCAAAGCTTGTTTGTCAGTAAGAATCATTTCACTGTCTCTACTGTGCTTTGGATGAGCTGTTAGTACACAATAAAATAAAAAAGTTTTAAAAAAATTGTTTATAGTAAATTGAAAACAAAATTATTTAAATATAGTTAAGATATCTATGAATATTCACATCAGTAACAAGGAGGCCTTCACTTCTAATGTTAAACCTGGCTTTTCCGTAGTGTTTGTACTACTCAGGAACATTTGTTTCATTTCTTTTATTTCTGCAGTGATACAGATCTGTAGCAATTATACGTGGAAAAGATATGGAGAAATTACATGTGAGCAAGGATGTGTCTCCCATGTGATGACTGTTTTTGCTTTTGTGAAACATAACTTATGACCCCGGCTGCTTTTGTTCTGCCTTCAAATTCCCATCTGATTTCATCTTTCCCTCACTTGGATGCAAAGAAGAAAAAAAGACTGACTTGTAAGCTGTCACTCTTTTTAACATGCAGACCACAGCTTGAGAATTACTTTATTTAAATGTTTCTGACTGGAATAATTCTATCTATTTGTCCCTCATGACACATTTTTTGTGTCCATCCCATGCAGCGAGGATTGCTTGTGGTAGACAACAGGATATTCCTCTTGCTATTATCCAAGGCATGGCATGCTGATGGGCTGGCATCTCCCACACCAGAGTCAATCACAGTCTGTGTTTCTGTGAAATGGTTTGGTTTCTCTTGGAAATGAAGTCACCAAAAAGACACTGGATCAGAATAGCACTATTGTGAGGACGCTACGCTCTCTTGCAAAGCCTGGCAGAAGTGTAAGGGTATTGTGCTAACTGCTAACAATCAGCAGTGGATCTCTGGAGCTACATGACTGAGATGAAAGGGAACAGAAACTTAACAGGGATAAGAAGTATGTCTCCGAGTACAGTACAGCCCGTTGTCAGCCGGCAAGGTCATCACTCAGTCCTGGAAAGGACAGATCTGGTTAGAGAACTAAAGAGGGACAAGAGCCTGCAAGTGCTGCTGCATGCCCTGGTAAAGTTTCTGGCAAATGAACAGTCTTCCCTCCTTATAGTTGTGAGAATCAGTATATGGAAAACATACATATTGCCTTCTTATGAGAATATTCCAGTGTTATTTTTAATTTTAACACCAATTCCCTACCCTCTCATTGTATAAGGTCTCATCTCTGGTTAATATTGTTTACACGTTGCTGCAGAGAGAGGGGGCCAAATTCCGATATCCTGCACAAGCGTTATCCCAGAGTCCATGAAAGATTTGCTGTGACAACAAATGTCTTCTCTTAGTTTTCTGCCAGACTGAGAAAGGCAGGAAGGATGTCATTAAATGCTCTTGATGTGTTTTAGCAATGTAAGACCCTGCTGTGTCTTAGGGATCTTTAGAGCTGATGGCCCAGATTTACTGAATCTAATATATGCCACGATGTAAAATCAAAAGTATTGCGACAGATTCATGTAAAAACATGAAATCATACTACTTCAAGTCCTCCAAACCTGGAGGAACTGTACGTTGCTGTCAGTAGTGTGGGGGCCTATGGGATGCAGTCCTGGGGCCTTAGATCCCACCTTTCCTGTGAAAAGGCAGGAACTTTAAACCCAGAAATACAATGCTTTTCACCCTGTAGACCTGGAGATCAACCTGCAAGCAAACTGTTATTTTGGATCTGTGGTGATGCATCCTCATAAGTATAACATGAAGCAAAGTCAGCAGGGAGAAGCAGTTTGCCTCGTTAAAAAAGTAACTGGGGAACAGTGTCAAGTTTCCAAAAAGAGAAGTCCCAGGTCAGGCACACCTGAAAGCTTGTCTATGGCTCCTAGTTAAAACCATGGCTTGGTTTTAGTAAAGTTTTCTCTCTTCATAAAGCTTGGTCATTTTACAACCATCTTGGGGAGCTGCACTATTCATCACACAACAAGTGCATCACAGTTTTTGGGACATGGCAGCACAGATGCTTATTTTCCCATGCCTAGAACTTCTTACGCAGGCAGTGAGGGACTTTGCTACTGCTTCTTTCTCATCCTTTCTTAAGCCTGTCTTAGTGTGCTTCATCCCTGTGGCCATGTTTCACTTTACAGGCGAGGTTAGCAAATGCAGCATGTCTGGACATAGCTTGGGCATGGGGGAGGCAGTGCCTGAAGGAAGCAGCACGGTGGTTCAGGAGCCCACCACAGCAGCCTCCAAGGCTGTTGATCCAGCTGCTTTGACTGAGTGAAAGACCAGTTTGTAATGATTTCAGACAAGTTCCACTGTATTTACTGAGCTCCTAAAGGCTGTGGTGGTGTAGGAGATTATCCCTTCACCCACTGTTGTGGGCTGTGGCTTTATAACGTGCTGGTGTCAGTATCCTTGGTCATGAAGCTACGAGTCAGCTCTCCTGAAGAGGCAGAATCAATGTGTCTCTGTGTAAATGTCCCAGTTTTGAAGCCTTGTGGTTGTTTAACTCCATTTTTAGCATGAGCCAGAGAGACTCCAAGGAGGAGGCAGGTGTGGCTGGTAGAGCAGTAAAAGTGCCTCTGTCTATGTTAATGCCGGTTCCCCGTGAGCAGTGGGTTTAGGGCTCAGGTTTGCATGGTTTGCAGCGGTTGTTGGAAGCCTTTCTGAATTCATCTTCAAGTAAGTTTCCTTGAGCCAAGTGGGCTTAGGGACCAAAATTTTATTCTTTATAGAAGTGCTGAGATGTCATTGTCTAGACAACAAGTGACTGTACCTTGTTTTAATTAGTTAAATAGCATTCATTATATCCTGATGCTTTGCAGACACCTGAGCAGGATTTCCTAGAATCTCAGGGACATCTGTGCTCTTTCTGCTTCTCACAGTGGCTAATGAGGAATAGTACACTCTGTTTCTCTCTGTGTCTGATCTCTTGGGCTGGAGGGAGTGAAATTACCAATAAACAGTTGGCTCATAGTTGTATCTCAAGGACAGGACATTCTCCCTGCTAATTGGGAGAAAGGCAAAGAATTATTCTGACCAGTTTCAGAGGACACGCGTCTCAAATCATGAAAGCATAATCTCCTAATAATTCTGAAGGATTCTTGCTCAGAGGCATTTAAGCACTTAGAAATATTTCCTCATAAAGAAAAGCTTATAGCACATCTCCCAAATGTCTACCACTGCCCTTTGAAATGTGACAAAGACCCTGTGGGCGTAATTCTCTGCCCAGCTGTCCTATCTGTGCAGCGGTCCCCACTGCTTGTGTTTTTACAGTGAAGTCCCATGTGCAGAAATACAAAATACCCATCAGAGACTGCATTGCAGGTAGAGGAGGCAGGCCTAACCTTCTATTAAAACAAAAATGACAAATATTTAATAGTTTGCAGGAGTCCAAGAGCTGGCATTTTCTTTGAGTGGATCCAATGCCCCGTTGACTTGCAAACTGGACAGTCAGATCAGGGACTTCACTGCTTTTTATGCACCATCACAGAGTTTTCATTTCTCTATTCTTAAGTATCACATCTAGTTCTGTTTTTAGTGAAAGGGTATGTGAGAACAAGTAATAGGTTCTACAGTGACCCTGGCTCTGTTGCAGATTGCACCTTCTGCCCCTAATCTCTACTAGTGCATCATCCACAAAGAGTTTTGCTCAGCTGAGCATGCACCCTTATCTCCCATTTTTGCTCCTGCCACAGTCCCCAAAGCATAGCTGATGGCCTGTTTGCTGCGATCCAGTCATGCATTTGCATGTTTTTATCTAAGTCGTGTTAAAAGGACTGATCCAGCTGTCGTTAAATATTTCCCTGCTCAGCTCACACTAACATTCAGCATAGTTTGTGGCTAAAGCAGCCAGAGAGGTTTCTGTGTCACTGGGAGGGAAAAAGAAAGTGGGTCTCAAAACTGAAGGCGCTGTAAAATGATTACATCAACTCATGACATAAAGGAGAGAGAGTCTGGGAGCCCAGTGGCTTTGTTTCACATCACAGCAGTGAATTTATAAATGGGAACTATATTTGATACATTTTTCCCTTAGTACAGCTCATTTTTGTGTCATACTCCTTAAATCAAGGTGGCCAAGGGCTGAGCTTTTTTATAAAACTGTCATGCATAAGTAGCAGAGACAGTGCCTGACCCTGAAAGATCACAGTCTGAATGCATCAGGCACGTGAAAGGTTGGGAGGTAAAGAGATACAGGGAGAGAAAGTAACTTCCCCCAGGTCACATAAAAAGTAGCGGGGTCCAGACTGTACCATAATCCTCATGCCACTATAACCTTCCCTAGGTTTTGGACAATTTGCTGACAGTACCTATCCAAGTAGGGGTCCTTGTTGTGAGTTGGGCTCCAGAGAGCTATACTCTCTAAGCATGCATTATTTTGGGAACAGTAATACTGTGACCATGTCTAACAAAAGTAAAGCATTTTTTCAGTCCATCAGCACAATCATGAGATCAGTCTGCAGCCTCTGAAAATGAATTTAAACAGCACTGACACTATCAGACATGATTTGAAGTGACTGTATATTTTGTGCCTCACTTCGCAAGGCCAAGATGATGATTATTTCCTGTATTATCTGTAACATGATTAGGTAATTTCTTGCTCAGTCATGTTTCTGGACGTTTCAGCTAGGGCAATGGTCATTGCCAGTATCAAATTTAGTTTGGAAAGATCTGTAACAGCTTCCCCATAATTTTTATTCCAGTAATTGAAATGCTTTCAGATCTGAAGAGAGATGGGCAGTTTTCAAAGTTAGGAATAAGAATAGGGGGGTTGGGGTTGGTTTTTTTTTTTTTATTTTACCAAGATTAATGTCTGCATGGGAGAAATATGAAGAAGATTTGGTGGGGAATTTTCTAACTAACTCTGAGTGTAAAAAGAAAGTTTGGACTGCACTGCAAATACACATTTTCTGCACCTGCCTAGTGTTCTGCTGCTGAAGTCTACAATCTGCTCTTTCATGGATTCCTGGAAGATATAAATGACTCCTCATTACAGCATAACTTGAACATCTTCGTGTTAACACATTCCTATTTCCTCTCTCCTCCTTTTTTTTTAGATCGAATATAAGCTTTGCAATGGATCTGACAAAGAGTGTGTGTCTCCCACAGCCAAATTCACGAAGAAGGAAACACTGAAGGTATGTGCAAAGCAGCCAAGTCAGCATCAGCTGACTTTTTCTTTTACAAAACAAGTAGTACCTTCCAAACAAACCATTGGGAACTACATTGAGTCATTTCCCAAGACCCGGAGAAACCTCTGACTCTTCTAGGAGTCATTATAGGCCAAGGATATTTACAGGCTTTATATACACGATTAGATTATATACTGCAAACAGAACAAATTGATGTAATTATTTCACTCTGTTCGTATGTTCCAGAGCCCTTAGGTACCTCAAGAGGATTGTAATCCTTCATTGGTCTTGTTAGGAAGGGTATGCCTAGGTAATCTGAGCAAATTATTGCTTGAACGCTTGCTTGTCTACCAAACCACAATTATAACTAACTTGGTTTAGATGAAATCAGATTTAAGCTCTTTAATTTGAGGGTTGGGGAGGACTGAGTATTCAGCCTCTTTCCATTCCCCCTAAAGAAAAGCCAAATTAGTTTATGTCTAATGGAACTTCAGGAGCAAAGAAAATGCCTGCTATCGTGTTATGGTTTTGTTCTTCCTTGTGCTCATTTCTGGGGAACCTGTGCTGGGTCAAGTTCTAGCTGTGCTATACATAGCTGTCCTTAATGCATTATGTTCTTTCCTCCCCAAAAGAGGCCATGATTACAGCTGCTATGTTTTCTGTTTTCTCAACCAGGTACAAAAAAAAAATTACAGACAGGAGAAGAAAAGAGCTACCAAGCAACTCTTCAGTGCTCTAAAGGATCCCAGTGTAGTGATCACAGCAGACTGGCTGAAGGTATTTAATACAGACCATTGCTGCTGAGGCTGTAGGAAAAAATGAGAAGCAGTTGATGTGTCTGAGACATACGCACCGACACTTTTTTGAGTGAAGGAATAATTCTGAGTTGAAGTTGCTGTAAAGCCATTCTTAAATAACTGCTATGAAAGTGGAGTTATGGGGAATATTTGCGTTCCATCTTAACCTCACTCAGTCCATCTATTCCCTGTCCTTAACAACAAGGTCTCAAAAAGTAGTATAAAAGGCATAGTACAAAAGGAAGTGATGAGGTTTCTTTTTTTCTTCCTCTCTGAAAGAGTCTGCTGGCCTCTTCCCATAGATGTGGTTTTGTACTGAAGGGGGAATAGACAGAGTAACAGCCTGCAAATAGACAGACACAGCTTGTTCTATTGACAGTCGGATTTTATGTTGTCACAGCACAGAACAAAACATATTGGACCTGATGACAACTGTAATTTCTCCTTGTGCAAAGGCTCAACTACTGACAGCTTCTCACTGAAGTCCTGAAACTTTGTGTGTGGCAAAATACATTTGGATTGACATTGAGAGATGTTACCTTTGAGCACTGTTTTTCTCCTCATTTGGGGCCATTTGGTCTTCTCAACTAAATAGTGAATAACAGTGAACTGTTTGTCCCTTTTATAATGGCCAAACTTAATTGCCAAACATCACCAAACGCAGAACTCTCTTTAAAAGTAACTTAGGGATTTCGTTAAACAATACAATCGCATTTGACCACTGTGAAAAACCTCCAACATTGTTCTATGATCTGTATTAGAGGCCAGAAAAGTGAGAAGCATATGGTTTATTTGAGAAATTAGATTGGCAACAAAATGTTTTCATAGTGTTTCGTGTTGATGATAGATAAATACTGAGATTTTTAAAAATACAAAATACCTGTTGCATGTTTGCTGTGGCTGGAAATTTCTGGTTCAGCAACAAATAATGCTGGGCCACAAAACCAGAACACTGCCACAAGATTTGAAGTTTGGCTTATGTACATTGAAGACAAGAAGACCTTAAGCAAAATCTAACCTGACTGAGAAACTTCCCCATTCTTAAAGCTGTTATCTTTAATACATGTTACCAGATTTAATGTCTTCTGTACAAGAGAAAGCGTGCATTGAGCTTGACAGAGAAATAAACCAGCTGGAGAAGGTGCTTTTAAAAATGGGGTATTTGACAAAGCCCATTTCTAGCTCTGTTCTGTGGAACACTATTAAAATGACTTGTAAGTCAAATTAGACTAGTTATAACATTTTTCTATGCAATGTTCTAATTGGTGTGTCCTCCATGATTATTAACAAATCACTCTCATATGGGCCAGCAGTGCTGGTTGCCTAAAAAGTTAAGCAAGCTGCTAACACTAAGCCAGTAATAAAATGAAGTAATATGAATAATTGTAATGAGTAATGTGAAGACTAGATGCTGATGGCCAGATTTACAAGCTCTGGGGTTTTGCTATGAGATACCTAATAATAATCCCTGTTCATAATAATGCAGTGTATTTTCCTAAGGAAGCGCATCGTAGTGTGTCCTTGGGAGAAATACATACTGGAAATACAGTATAAATACTGCTGGTTTTATTTTAAGGAGCAACATAAATGCAACTTTTTGTTCTCTCCCTGCTTCCCTCCAGATTCGTGGGACTCTGAAAAGTTGGACCAAGCTGTGGTGTGTTCTGAAACCAGGAGTGCTGCTGATTTATAAGACGCCAAAGATTGGACAGTGGGTTGGGACAATCTTGCTCCATTCTTGTGAGCTGATTGAGAGACCTTCCAAAAAGGACGGCTTCTGTTTTAAACTTTTTCATCCTTTGGATCAATCAATCTGGGCTGTAAAGGTAACAATCCTGATGAGTCAAACAACTTCTTGGTCACCAAAGTGTCCGAGCCTTAGTATTATCTAGCATTGAAATTATCTTGATTTGCAGTTATTCAGTTGCTGTTAGTGATGATTTGACTGCATAAAAAGATTAAAGATACCAAAGCTTGTTCATTATGTGACATTAAAGGAACGTGGTGTGTTGTGATTAGTTATATAAATGTGTCACTCTTGCTGTATAGATGCATGCATAGACTGAGGAAAGGGGAAGCATGTTAGTGCAGGAAAGATCAATACCTAGAAGTTACATCAAGCCACGGCCTACATTTTTTAAAAGAGATGAGGAATAGACCAAATTAACTGACTTCCCCAAAATGAGGATACACAAAGCACCAAATACTTCGCACAACACTGGAAGAGGGCTGACTAGGTGACAAAAACCAGAATAATAGTTTGACTTTTTCTTTCTAATGCCTCTGAGGTTTGGGTTAGTTTGCAATAGACTTGGAACTCAGTGGTCTGCTCAAGCCTTGACTTTTCCACAAAAGCGTGACTTTGGATAGGTTGCCTTAATTTTCTCTTCTTTGAAATGGAAATAGCAAGGTTCTTTCCCCTTCACTTTGAGTTGTTCTTCAGTCTGTTGTTACTCACAGGCTGAGACAGTCTCTTCCTTTACACACAATAGCTCCTGCACTGACCTCTGGGTCTCCCTGTATCGCAAATGATTAATAGTTTCTCACACTTCCTAAAATAACTCCCTGCAAATTTTAAAGAGCTGCATTTCTTTTTCTTCTTTCCTTTAAGAATGGGCAAAAAGAAAAAAATTATCTAATACCTATGAGCAAAGAGGAAGACCCCAGTGCCTCCTGAGATGCACTGACAGCAACGTCTGTTGGATACCCTGAAGGCAAAACTTAAATGTTCTTGAACTCTCATTTCCCCATTAAAAACAGTGACTCAGCAGAGTTACTGCAGACATAAATTCTCTAGGAGACATCAGCAGTGTAAGCAAGGCATTACAAACTAGTGCCTTGCTGCACGGTGGTCAGCAGAGTCAATCTGCTTGAAAAGACTCATGCGAGAACAATGAAAGCATTTGTCATTGGCATCAGAAGATCTAGCAAAATGGAGGGGAAGCCCTGTGGGAGCAGATCAAGCAGGCTCTCTTCTGTTCATCCCTGCAGTTAATTGAACAGTTTTAAACACAGCTATAAAATCACTATTAAAAGTCTTGCAATTTTTAATAAAGTAGGAGGAGAGAATTAAAATTAACCTTAACAACCAGGGGTAAGAGCTGCTGTTTTCTGACAGTAGCTCATCTCTGATCTGTGCCTAGATTCATTACTTTTCCTTTAAGTCCCAAAGGTGTCATTGCTACCTTGCTTCTTACTCAGTTTTGAGAGTTTTGATGCTTTTGTAATTCGGAGCATGCACGCAAGAAGGTTGTTGAAGGTTGCGGTCCATCAACAAAAAAATTCCCTGTGACTTGACAGGTCAGTTGAATTCTTCTGAAAAGCACAGTCAGGAGAGGTAGTGAAAAAGTCGAATCAAAAGTGCAGTCAGGTACTGAAAAGTAGTGTCGCTGACAGATGTGAAGTGTTCTGCTAGAGTGCCCTTCCTTGATATGAATCATCCAAAAGAAAGAGGAGTTTTTATTAATATGTGTATGTATTTTTGTGTGTGTATATCTAATTCTTGTGTCTCTTGAGAAAATATATGACAGAAATAGGAATTAGGATATTAAATTGAAGGGAATATATCTCTGAAAATGCTTGTGTACTAGAGGAAGTCCCAAGAGATTTGAATTTTAAAGTTGAAGGGATATTCTAAGTCCCGTGAGACAGATATTTAGAAAGCTACATTTGAGCTGCATAGTAGGATATTTCCTGAGACCTGCGTTCAGCTCGCATTGTTAAGTCTGAGAGATGCTTTCAGCCATAAGGTGAACACCAAAATACACATCAAGAAGAAATCCACCAGTGAACTGCTTGATGTCAAAGAAGCTGTCTGCACTCTGACAACAGTTTAAGGCTGAAACTGCTAAAAATACTGTTTCATTTTATGTCATTTTGTGGCCTTCTTTTAAAGCAACTGGAGCAGAATTGACTGATCCAAATTTGTTATGTATAACTGTGCAAAGAAAGCCTATTTCTCATGAAATATAGATTAGCGCAAGCTTAAGCAAAATGCCCAAGCTAGTGTCCATCACAATAGAAATCAGATCTGGCTAAACAACTTTGACTTTTGGCTAAAATGGCTTGTGAAATTTTCAGGGATTTTTCCAGTCTAGAGTTGATGGTCCAGCTTTGACTCACATGAGAGGACTTGCAGCTAACTCGGGATAATTAATGAGCACTTTTGTACGTGTTGGCCTGGCTGCTCAGTAGATGTTTGGATCTAACTGCAGGGTTCAGCCCTGGAACAAATATCTGGTTCAAGCGCTGCCCTAGGCATTTATAGTTGTGCTAGCCAATTAAATTGGATTTGCAAGCATTTAATTTCAGTTAGAGCAGAATGAAATTTTGGGTCGCCTTCCAAATGGTATGTAGGTAAGATGTAAGACCATTACTTATAGTTGAAAGCTAAATATATGCACCAGGGAACTGTTTCTCCTTTGAAGCTCTCTGCTGTCTAGAGCTATCTTAGAAGCATATCACCGAGGGGAGAGAGTCCTTTATTCTACACTGCTTCCCTGGCTTCTTGAGAGTTTTAGCTTGAAACTCCTTCACAGTGCAGATGGATTGGACCTTTGCTCTGCCCAGGCCTTTGTAAACCCAAGGCCAAAACCACCAAGGTCTCCAAATCAGTCAGCAGCACAAGCAGCAGTAAGAAAAGCTCCCTTACTGCCACAGAGGCACTTTGTCCATCGTGTGAAGGCAGCGTGATCCCACACTGCTTCAGGGAAGAGACTTTTTGCCAAGATGACTGCAGGAGACTGGGGAACCCCCACCTAGCAATTAGTGCGGGGGTGTGGGTGTCTGTCCCCTTGCTTTGCAGAGGGAGTGTAGGGCTATCAGCTGGCAGGGTTTGCCCGGCTGCCCCAAAAAAATATGCTGGAATAGTTCGTATTTCCCGTTGAGCATGCTCAGAAGCTAGGTCAAGAGTGTGGTGTGGGACGGCTTTTGTTGACTGCAGCTTGATCTGACGCTTATTTGGAGCGCTAAATGAGTTGGGGTCAGACCTGGCAAGACACATTATTTGAATTTTGTTGATTTTAAGAACTTTAAGTCATTCCTTTAAGTAAAAAAGTTCTAGTAATGGGCTTGTGCTGCTGCTTTTACAGTTGTTTGTTCTACTCTACTTCTACCAACAAACCAGTTAGTTTCATCTTCATCCTTACAGTTATTCACAGTACTGCTAATGAAAGGGATTGTTTCCCCTTTTTTAAGCTTTGTTTTATGACTCTCCAAGAGTAGAGGTCTTATCATACTATCTAAAACAGTGTGAGTCCACTCCATTTTTCAAAGCCTGATCAACCCCTGTTTCATAATGCCTTTTGAGTCTCAAATCAAATGTGAAGACAGGAATGATCTGAAGATGATCCTTTCTTAGTTGTACTGTTTAGAGACTGCAGCTGAGCTGCGGGTCCTAGCATAGCAGGGGTAACATTCACTTTTAGTGAGAGGTGGTCATTGTCTTAGAGGTCTTAGACTCTAAACAGGCCTGATGCTGAAAGGCTGGGAGACAGAAAGCAGCTTTATCTCTGCTGTGCAGATACAGAACCTCATTTACTCTGTGGAGATGTTGACTTTATTTTTATGGCCTCCTCTCTTTTCTTCTTCTCTTCTTTCTGTGGGAAACAGCCCCCCCCATGTACGAGTATGCCTTACTATTGAATATGTTTCCTTGACAGAGTGACCTGGCTGCTCCTAATGTTTATCTACATGCCTACATGGCTGTTAAAACCTTGTGTTATCCCCTCCTTCCCTTCTCCCCCCCTTTTTTAATAATGGTTTTCTGGATCTGTACTGTTTGGTTGTGGGGTTTTTCCTCCAACAGAGCAAGTATCAACCTTTGCACTGAAAACACAAGTAATGATGTTATCAACAGTTCTCGAACAACCTGCTCAGCTGCCAGCTTCTGAAAGGAAAAATGCCATCGGGAATGATGCCTGATTGCATTAATGTCACTAGTAATTTCTTAAGCTGCTCTGCTCTGGTTTACTAATCAAATCTCAACTTTGCCAGTCCTGACTATTAAGCCTTTAAACAGTTGTAATTTTGTGAACCTCTTGTGGGAGAAGGGAGGGGAAAAAGAATTGAGTAACAAAGATCCCAGTTTTTCAGCAGAAGAACCCCACAGATATGAAGGCAAGACTGGAGACTGTTGTCGTCTCACCACTGCATCTTCATGGCACAGACTCAGATACAATTTGATGCTTGTCCTGTGCTTGCACTCTTCATTCTTTCCAAACTTTGGTTTCCTGAGCGGAACTCAAAAAAGAAAAAAAGTACAGATAAAACCACCATTTAACTACCAGACACTTGTACAGAGGAGCAGTTTTCAGTGGCAGTCACAGTTTCCCTGCTTACAAACTAATGCTAGGGAGAGCTCCTTCTTTCAAGGAGCAGGATGTGATACTACAAAGGCCCACGTAAGGGAGGAGAGTTATACTCAAACTGCAAAAATTTGCCTACAGATTTTCAGGATTGTGTGGTATTCTCTAGAAACTCAAGGAAATCTGTATTTGAGCATCCTGGAGAAAACTGCTTGTTCCACCCTGCAGTTGGCATAGTGGTCATGCGAGTATTGGTGATGTTTTCTGCTCTCTATTTATTTCTGACATGATGTCTACATACTTGAAAAAGGATCTGCTTTCATGTTGTTTGTTATGAAGTGAGGAAGAGAAGGAACTGGAGGAGGCTGGGTCACTTTGGAAATGCAAGGGAGGAGGAAGGACTCCCAACTTATTTCAGCCAGGTCATGGCATAAAGTCCATACCATGGGGAGTATGAAGCTGTGCTCCCCGGGTACAGGAACTGCTTTTTCTTAGCAGCTTCTGGAGCTCAAGAGAGAAGAAAACAGGGAGAAGATCAAGGTGGGAGCCTGTGGTTCTGCTCAAAGAAGTGCCTAATCCAAGATGGACTCTGCCTCTCTGGGAATCATTTCTGGAGGGTCATGCTGAAGGGATTGTGGAGGATGTTTACAAGACACTATAATCTTTTTTTGCCACAGCTCCTAAACTGAAGGCAACTTAAACAAGCAAAGCCTGTTTTTGTTAAAGCCTGAAGTGGCTGTCACCCCAGGCACTATGGCATAAAGGTTCTCAAAGAGTCTGGATGTAAAGGTGAAAGGCTGCAACCCAGCAGCACGTGCCCATGCTGGGAGCCCTTTGGTCCTCAGCCTGTGGTTTTCCCTGTCTCCTCCTTTCCCACAAACAGGTTTGCAGGGTGGAGTTTCCCCTTTGTTTTCTTCCAGAAAAGCTGCCATTGCCTCTCTCCTAGAGGCAGTCACAGCAGGAGCTGTGGGCTCCTGCCACTTTTATGGTGGCACATTAAGTGGTGTTTCATTGCTGGTGTGTCGGGCTGCAGAGAGACTTGACGTGCACTGCATGGAACAGCCAATTCAGGCATTGCACAAAGGTGGCTAATACCAAGTATTTGACTGTTTTCATTCCAAGCAGCATGAA